CTGGTGCCTTTGTTCTTCTATCTTGCCATCGGCGTCGGCCTCAGCTACCTCGCCCTCTGCTGGTCCACCACCAGCATAGGCTTCGTGCGTTCCTCACTTCTCGCCCAACTATGAGACGCTACTGACAAACACAGGGCATAACCCGTGCGTACCGCAAGGAATACTTTGCCAACATGCTATCCAAATCCGCCTCCTTCTTCGATGCAGAAGCAAATTCGGCTGGCGCCCTCACCGCTAGGCTCGCCACGGACCCAACACAGCTCCAGCAGCTCCTGGGCACCAACATGGCATTTGCTCTTGTATCCGTCTTCAACGTTGTGGGCTGTGTCGTCGTCGGCCTTGTCTTTGGTTGGAAGCTTACCATTGTGGCGCTGTGCACCTCAACACCCCTCATCGTCGCGGCTATGTACTACCGCGTGCGACACGAGATGGGGTTCGAGGCGATGAACAACGCCGTCTTCGCCGAGAGCGCCAAATTCGCGTCGGAGAGCATCGCTGCCACGAGGACGGTGTCCAGTCTGACGATGGAGGCTGGCATCTGTGGACGGTACGAGAACCTGTTGCGCGACCATATTGGTGCCGCGTTTCGCAAGTCAGTCTTCTCGGTGATGCTGTTCTCCTTCAGTGACAGCATCTCTCTCCTGTGCATGGCATTTGTGCTCTGGTAAGGCTTTCATCGGACTACAAAACGAAACATCGAGCTAACTGTGCTAGGTACGGAGGTCATCTGCTTGCCCGACATGAATATTCGCCTTTCCAGTACAGTGAGTCCACTGCAGACAACGTACTCCACCGTTTTTGGAAGCTGACAAGGCTAGTGATCGTTTATATCGCAGTAGTTCAAGGTGGCATGAGTGCCGGACAGTGGCTGAGCTATGGTCCAAGTAAGATAGTAACATGACGTGTTCACCTCATCTTCTAACGGCGACAGATATTGCGAACGCAACCGCTGCAGCTGACCGGATCCTGGCGATGCGAGAACACGATGAAGACGATGTGGATGCAGATAGCGTGGGCTCAAGACAGTTGCACGATGTCCCAGATGAAAAGGAGTTTCATGTTGAGTTCAAGAACGTCTGGATCAACTACCCGACACGGCCGGGGCCAGTGTTGAAGGGATTGAGCCTCCAGGTGAGTGCTCTTTCAGATTGTTCCTCCCACCAACAAAAATGACGTCAACCTCCAAATCAGAGGGGACAATTTGCCGCCATCGTTGGTCCATCAGGTATGCTCTTACTTCCAAGGCTCCCTCAACGCTTGCAAAAAATCACACAAAACAGGCTCTGGCAAGACCACAATCATCTCCCTTCTCGAGCGATTCTATTCTGTTGAGACAGGCACGATTGCTATCAACGCCCAAAACATCCTCGATCTCGACCTCCACACCCATCGATCAAACCTCTCTCTCGTCTCCCAGGAACCCAACATCTTCAGCGGTAGTCTTCGCGCCAACATCCTCCTTGGCGTGCCCAACGAGCCCTCCGTTACGGATGCAGACCTCCACCGCGCTGCCCGCGACGCAGGACTTCATGATTTCATCGCCTCCCTGCCCGAGGGCTACGAGACGCCTGTCGGCGCCGCGGGCGTCGCTCTCTCAGGAGGCCAAAAACAGCGCGTATCCATCGCCCGAGCGCTCATCAGGCGGCCGGAGCTTCTTCTCCTCGATGAAGCGACGAGCAGCCTCGATAGTGAGACCGAGAGGGAGGTACAGGCCGTCTTTGATGCGGCAAAGGGCCAGAGGACCATGATCACGGTTGCGCACAGGCTTGCTACCGTGCAGAATGCGGATATCATCTTCGTCATGGCCGACGGACAAATCACCGAGAAGGGAGACCATGCAGCACTCATTGCGAAGAGAGGGATGTATTTCCAGATGGTAAGTCCTACTTGGCAAGTTGCTCCCGATCATTTACTTACGTCGCAGTGTCAATCGCAAGCGTTAGACAGGTAAATCAACGAAGGCGGAGGATGTACGCCGCCCCAGATGAGATACCGGAAACGGGTTGTAGTTTGTAGTTAGATAGCCTCCAAGATATTTTTCTTCTTTCGGTTCGTCCCGTAGTTCCGCAATGACAGCGGATTCTGATCGTGAATCTAACGGCTTTTTGTCTTTCTTTGATGACTCGTTGGATTCACAGGTGCCGTGCCGTCCCCCAATGCCGCCTCATCGTCACACGAGACGGACCTCTTATCTTATCGCAATATCCACCCGCCCCAAGGCGCCAACGTCAATCGCAGCCCGCGATCGAGCAGAGCATGAAACCGTCATCGGCCCCCTCCTTCACCGAAAGACCATGGGCCGGATCACGACATGAAGCTCCTCGCCCGCACATTGCTACCCCTCCTCCGCCCACACAATGGCTCTCCGCTCCGATGGCTCGGCCACGGCGCCGTGCGCAGCCAAGCCCTGAGCACCACCCTTTGGAATCAGAAAGAACAGATGCCCCAGCGCCCCAAACCCCCGCCGGACAGCGACATCGAGGAGTCCTACCTCAAAGGCAGCGGGCCCGGCGGCCAAAAGATCGTACGGTCCCCCAACCTCAAGAAAACTACCCCCACCACCATGCATCCGCTGACGAAACCCCTCCCCCCTTGTTGCAGAACAAGACGAACTCCGCAGTCCAGCTCAAGCACATACCGACCGGCATCGTCATCAAGTCCCAGGCCACGCGCTCGCGCTCTCAGAATCGGAAGATTGCCCGCCAACTCCTCGCCGAGAGGCTCGACGACCTAGAGAACGGCGATCAGAGCCGCAATGCCATTGTCGCTGAAGCGAAGCGCAAGAAAGCGGCGAGTGCAGCCAAGAAGAGCAAGAGAAAGTACAGGAAGCTTGAGGATGCTGGGCGGCACGACGGCCAGCCTGGCGACGACATCACGGCGACAGTGGCACCAGAGACTGACACGGGCCGAGTTCAGGTGCCAACAAACCTCGAAAAGACCAACCCTACAGATGGGAAACCAAGCATTATAAACCCAATATGATACACCATGTACAACGGCACCACATCACAAATAGACATCAAAATGAAATAGAACCTTGATCCTATTCCTGAAGGATTTCTATGACTCGATTCATGAACCATGGCCACGTAGGCTGGTAGGTCCTCGCAAGTAAAGAAGGGCTGAAAGCAAAGTGTATTGGATGATCAACCTCGATTGACGAGTTCCACCCCTAACCGTGCGCGCACACCCTGCTACTGAACAAAGACCATATCGCCTGTGAGAAACGTCGACCCCAATTTCTTGACCATGTCAAAAACTTTTCGTAGATACGAGACTCGGACTGCGTGCCATCCCACCGGGACAGACTCTGCATCGGTCGCGACCTTCGTGGACTCGGCGTGGTTTTGCGGTGAGGGAGGGAGGAGGAATTGGGACGCGAAGCGCTGCACACTGAGGGTCAGAGACGACAGGTTGTTGGGCGGGTCATCTACAAACATACCTTAGAAGCACTTGCGGTGGACAATGGAGGGACCGCTCTCGTCGTACTCCTGCTTGGAGATCCACATCTGCTGGAAGGTGGACAGGGACGCGAGAATGGAACCACCGATCCAGACGGAGTACTTGCGCTCGGGAGGAGCAATGATCTTGACCTTCATGGAAGAAGGAGCAAGAGCAGTAATCTCCTTCTGCATACGGTCGGAGAGACCGGGGTACATGGTGGTACCGCCAGACTAGAGAGGATCGATCAGCATTGGCACACCAGAAAGTTGTGACTCAGGCAAAGCTTACCATGACGATGTTGCCGTACAGGTCCTTACGGACATCGACGTCGCACTTCATGATGGAGTTGAAGGTGGTGACGTGGATACCGCCGGACTCGAGGCCGAGAACGGAGGGCTGGAAGAGGGCCTCGGGGGCGCGGAAGCGCTCGTTGCCGATGGTGATGACCTGACCGTCAGGAAGCTCGTAAGACTTCTCCAGGCTGGAGCTCTGGGCGGCGGTCTGGATCTCCTGCTCGAAGTCGAGGGCAACGTAGCAGAGCTTCTCCTTGATGTCACGAACGATTTCACGCTCGGCAGTGGTGGAGAAAGTGTAGCCACGCTCAGCCAGGATCTTCATGAGGTAGTCGGTCAAGTCGCGACCAGCCATGTCGACACGGGCAATGGCGTGGGGCAGGGCGAAACCCTCGTAGATGGGGACAACGTGGGTGACACCGTCACCAGAGTCAAGCACGATACCAGTGGTACGACCGGAGGCGTACAGGGACAGGACGGCCTGGATGGAGACGTAGAAGGCGGGGGCGTTGAAGGTCTCGAAGACGATCTGGGTCATCTTCTCACGGTTGGACTTGGGGTTGATGGGGGCCTCCGTCAGCAGGACGGGGTGCTCCTCGGGAGCGACACGGAGCTCGTTGTAGAAGGTGTGGTGCCAAATCTTCTCCATGTCGTCCCAGTTGGTGACGACACCGTGCTCGATGGGGTAGCGGAGGGTAAGGATACCACGCTTGGACTGTGCCTCATCACCGACGTAGGAGTCCTTCTGGCCCATACCAATCATGATACCATGGTGACGGGGGCGACCGACAATGGAAGCTTGAAATGGTCAGTATTGAAGATCATGACGAGCTTTGCCCGCGGCACCCAAAGTTGCGGTCTAGGGAATTGGGGTAGGGCAACTTACGGAAGACAGCACGGGGCGCATCGTCACCGGCGAAACCGGCCTTGCACATACCCGAACTACAGTCAAGTCAGCTCCATGTTTCTTTTCTTGCCTCTGCTTATCATGGCGCTCCATGTGTTGAGACATTGTGCCAGTATATGGATATCGAGTGATGAAGGATCGCGGCGGGTCCCTCATCAAAGGCGGAGAAGCCGGCGACAGCGGCGGGCGAAAAAGGGGGGGGATTAGACGAACCCATTGTCAATGACGAGGGCAGCAACTTCTTCTGTAACGGGAAGATGTTGTTAGCAATGTTCATTGCCTGAGCATCAAGTCCCTCAGAGATGATATGGGCAACATCTCGATGGGACAAGCTTTGGGGCATCATAACGGATAACCTACCCTCCATTGTGAATTATGTAGCGGTGGGGAGAGGAATTGAGGTGGTCAAATGATAGCTGGAAGAGATGAAATTAGCTCGCGCGATTCACGGATCGTAAAAGCGAGATGGTATTCGACAGCGTCTGAAGCTGGTGGTGAGGAGTCGGAGGGGTGGGAGGTGGTCGATGGGAAGTGATGTTAAAGTGGGAAGGTTGGTATATGGGGACGCACCTGTGCTTGTTGGCAAGTTGGGTTGGGCGGAGGGGAAAAGGGAAAGTGCGAGAGCGAGGTGCGAAGTGGAAGTGGAAGGTACAAGGTGTCGCTGCTTCTGAGGAGGTGCGGTCAGGGTGGAGAACCGTCCGGGGGGGGCGATGCCAGCGTGGATGTGAGATGGTCCTTGGGAAACCTGACTTGTGGGCGGGCAATTGCTGGTGATCGGGAACGCTCGCTGCTTTTACATGTTTGTGGCTGACGGCCGATGCCTGGGTACGTATCGCTCACCTTTTGGTGGGTTTGGAGCGCAGGTGAGGTGGGTGACGAGGAATCTAGAGGCTGGCCCTGGCCTGCGGGTGCTTTGGGGGGGCACATGGGGGGCACAGCTCTCGAGGTGGCTGGGCGGCGGACAGGCAGCACGTTTTGAGCCTGACAGGCATGTTCTGATGCAGGTGCTTCGCGGCCCGCGGCCCATCAAACCCAGAAGGACCCCGAAGTTGAGGTCGAGAACATCAAACATCGTGATCACGGGATCAGGCACCAAGAGTGGTTGCCAAGCATCTGGAGCCACTGCCCATACACACGATGGTCAACCCTACTCAAGGCACCACAGAATGACCTGCTTACGGTGTTCGCTACATCACTATGCATGTCGTCACGCACCAAGTCAGCCAGCCCTATCTTATGTGCAGGCGTCATGCTACCCAATGAGTATCCGCGCATCTGAAGCTTCATCACCCTCTCACCACGACATCAGCAGGGTCGGAAAATCGACTTGCAGCATCATCACTTCGGCTTCACCCAAGAAACCCCTCAACGGCGCAAAAGCGCAGAGAGTGGCATAAGCATCGAAAGCACAAACCCACCCCGGCTGCCCCGGACTTTGCCCCCGTGCCTACGATCTACGTGGTTGACTCGTACACCACTGTGTTGGCATGGCAAAGTCGACACGCGTACTGGCAACACTTGTGGAAAGGAAACCCTTTCATCAACCCGAGTAATGACGCCACCCGGGAGCATTCCCTAATCACGAGTATCCGACCGCCTATTGTTCAACGTTGTTTCACGCTGCGCTCTCAAACGCGCCTCGCCAAGACACCCTACTCATGGTCTTTCGGGCTTTAATGGATGCCTATAGCTGCCGCGCGAGTGGGTTGCGTATGCAGGGCAGGCTTCCGTTAAATGACCCGCGGCCGACTAACTATGCTAAACATATCCATCTGCAGACGGAGCAAGGCTTCAAGCTCGCTGCCCCGGCTTGTTGCCTTCTTGAGGCACCTGGTGTCTGGGAGCCAACTCGATGGATCTGTTTGTGTCGGTGTGTAAAGGGTTACTAAGAGAGAATTGTAGCCCCTGCTCCTCAACAGATTTTACCCCTCGTCTGTGGCGGAGCTGAGAATCCAAGAGCACGGCACCAGCCTGGGGAAGATATGATGTTCAAACCTTCAATTGACTTGTTACATGTGCCACAAGAATGTACAGATCGTAGGAGGCTTTCAACTTTGGGAATGACACCAACCGCGCTGCATCAGGGATCATGTCGAGCTTCAAGGGGGTGGGCGTCCAATCTCCTCTAAAGCGGCAATGAGGGGCAACTCATCTCATGGTGGGGCAGCTGGGAATCCTGGATTCTTCACCAACCACCCACGAGACCGCTGCCCGACCACCGGAGGATGACCTTGACCTAGCTGCGAACCTTTTGTGCAGTACATCGTGGTCTCTTCGGTCGTCACAAGTTCCCTATGCACTCTGGGAAGACAAGCTGATTCGCAACCTCCGCAGTTTCTGAAAGTCATGTTGAACGGACGGTTTACAAGTGGGAATATGACATGGTCAGAGCTTCTTGGACCTTGGGCCGCCGTTCCGCCAGGACCAGGGCTTTCACGTGAGATCTGCGCTAGTCTCTTTCTGTCTAGAAGCCTTCTTGAAGATTCCAGAACGGGCAGGATCCCGGCAGGCTCAAGTCATGGTGATGAGGAGGCCGAAGAAAAAAAGCAAAATCATTTGAATGGCAGCGAGTGAAGTCGACTTTTGCGTAGAACACCTCAACTCGAAACTCCATCAAGATCAGAAGACCTGACTTCATCATAACAAGACTTGTTCAGAGCAAAACTCTCAGAACGTAGTCAGAGTTTATTTTTCCTCCGTCTTATTCGTTGAGA